ATATGTTTCAAAAATTAAAGGCAAAATATTTGAAATGAATTTTCTTACAGGAACCAGAATATAATGAACTGGATATCAAAGAAACAAAATTGGCCTAATCAGCATCTTTTCACTGTAGCCAACACAGGGAGTGATCTAGACAAGAAAGTAAGAGCAATGTAAACAGGGCCTCACGAAACAGGGCATGGCTTCACTGAAATGTGACACTTCATCTCCATCTCATTTTTGTTTGGTGAACACTGGGGCCAACATTAGTCAGGGAAGGCACACAGCCACTTGTTGACAAACACTGGCACACCTTGTTCCCATCTACTTACTCTCCATAAGAGAGACTGGAAACCCAATTCCCAATTAGGTAATGAAAACATGCTGTTATCTTTCATATAATGCAAGGCTTGGGGACAGGGGTCCTTGGGCCACTCTTCGACCTTCCCTGTGACTCAGGGAAGGCCCCAAGTGACCATCAATACATTGTCGAAATGATGCATTCATGATTTACCACAGTGGACAGAGACAACTGAGAAGTAGAAGAGGATGAGTCCCCTTCCTCTCTGATCATTGCCACTTATTACCTCTAAAGATACACACAAGACCAGCAATCTTCCAAAATACTAAAGGGCCATTCTGGAACAAAGGACCTACAAGAGCTATGAACAGGTCGGAGTGCCACTGCTGCTTTGCAGAACAGCCTCCTGTGGGCATCCAGCCAGGCTATGTGTCTGGATTTCTGACTTTTGGGTTATAAGACCACAACTGAGCAGCTAAATCCTCTTTATTTGTCCAGCCCCAGTGCTGTGTGGCTGTCTGGTTGTTTTTTGATTTCTTCAACCCCATGATGAGTTTCCTGGACTATATCCTTAGCTTCTCTGAAAGGCACCTGTCTTCAGAAAATGCCTCAGGCTACACATTCCCTGTATGATTCTGTTTACTTGAGCCAAAAAACTGCTACCCACATCAAATATATTTACAGGCTTTGCCATACCCTGTAAAAACCATTAGAACTCAAGATGGTAATCTGTTTTTCAGTGGTCATCTGGGTATTTCTCTTTGGTTAGGAGTATCTAAGTAAGAATTAACAGCTCAGAAAAACTAGGTCATATTTTATGGCACCTGTAGGACGAGATCCTGGTGGAATATGCATACATGTTTTGGTATTAAACTGACAATACAGGCGATAAATCACACATGGAAGACAGGGTAGTGGTGGAAGGGCTGTGTGTTCTACAACAGTCACCGGCGGCTGGAGACACAGCAAGAATATGAGCAAGCAAAAATTGGGTCTGCCAATCTCATATGCCCAGAGCAACAGTGCTCAGCACAGAGCAGATGGCAAGCAAACTGCCCCTCAGTCACAGGTGACAGTGCTGAATTCAAAGACCTTTCCAGAGAACAAGAAAGAACAGAAAGCAGGGGAAAAGCGTGGGGGAGTGGGGGTGGGGTGTTGTTCTTTCTCAGGCTATTTCTTTTAGTATTTCAATTTTGTGTGTGAGACAGGGTGTCCCTGTAGCCCCAGCTGTCCTAGAACTCAATATGTAGACCAGGCTGGCCTTGAACTCACAGACATCCACCTGCCTCTGCCCTCTGCATGCTGGGATTAAAGGCATGTGCCACCATGTCCAGCAGTATTTCAATTTTTAAAGATTTTTATTTATTTTTTGTATTATGAGTGTTCTGCCTTGTCTCCCAATTGGCTGGTTCCTCCAATGGGCGGGGCCTGACATGGAGCGGGAACTAGGAAAGGAAGCCTGGAGCCATCCAGAGCCGCAGGTAGACCGTGATGGTGTAGGAAACTTGAAGACAGCACCGCAACTCAATGACAGAATGGACTGACTCCCTATGGACCTGGGGCAAGATCACTGGCCCCAGAGGCGTGAGCAAATGCTAGCGGGGCTATGGGCATGGCACGGTCTGATAAGGCAGGCTCTGAGTCGTGGCAGCGCAGGGCTCGGCACTGGGTACTCATTCCTTTGTAAGCTAAACTCACATAAAATATATTCTGATCGTACAGGAGACCCAGAGAGAATTTGGGCCACATGCCTGCATGTATGTAAGTGCGTCACATACGTGTCTGGTTCTCATGGAAGCCAGAAGAAGGCGTAGGATCCCCTGGAACCGGAGTTAAGAATGGGTTGGGGCTGCCATGTGGGGTCTGGGAACTGAACCAGGTCCTCTGGAAAAGAAGTGCTTTTAACTACTGAGGTATCTCTTCAGCCCCAGTATTACCAATTTTATAAGGCCTTTGTTTTCCAAATAGTGCCTTGAAATGTGGTAGATATTTTACACACAGTCTTGTAAGAGGCATTACCTCAGTTTTATAGATGGGAAAAATAAAGCTCAGAATTCATCTGTCAATAAACAGCTAGTAAGAAGCTAAGAGGGAATGAATGCTCAAGCCACTCTGCTTTCTAAATTCAGAGACTCTTGTCTGTCACTCCTGAGCCTCCTGTGCTGACACCCCCTCACCCTCACCCCCCTACTGGTGAAGGTCTGGGTCTGTTGTTTGAATATGAAAAGCTTCCCATAGGCTTCTGTGTTTTAGGATTTGGTCCCTAGCTGGTGGTGCTGTTCAGGATTATAGAATCTTTAGGAGGTAGACTGTCTTTAGGAGGTAGACTCTCACTGGAGGAAGTAAGTCACTGGAGGTAGACCTTGAGGTTTACAGTCCCAGCCCCACTTCTGATCAGCTCTCTGCTTCTGGACTACAGACACAATGTAATCAGCTGCCTCCTGCTGCAGAATGCCACATCTTCTTGGGCTTTGGACTGCATTCCCTAGAACTGTAAGCCAAAGTAAGTCCTTCCTCCCTTACACCCCTTCTTACTGGGTATGTGGTCACAGTGACAAGAAAGGTAGTTAGTGCAGGGTCCTTCCTCTCCCGGGTTCCCTAGTAGAACTGTTGCCACCAATATCCTTTGCCACTTTGTCCCAATGAAGAAAATAGTGTTCTATATCAAGGAAAGAATCTGACGCTCATTTCCCCGTCTTTCTACCGCAAACCAGTTTCCTCTTATTCTACCTAGACCTGAAGAAGAAAGCCAAGTAGATAAAAGGCAACATACTACTGAATTTAAGGTAATGCTAGCAGACCATTTTCATCAGACCAGCTTCCACTGGCTTCTATGCCATCATGTGCTAGATGTTCACTAGCTACTTGAAGATTTTAATGGTGTCTTTTTTCCTGTTGTTCTCTAAAAAGTTGTGTTTATAGTGGTGTTCATGGAGAGCCTATGAGCGTCTAGAGACAAGCACACAATCTTTGGCCTTTTCCTTAATTATGCTCACCTCAAATAACTCTATCATGACAAATAAGCATGGAGGAATGGTGGCAGGGTAGAAAGCTGGTACAATAAACCAATTAAACTATTTTTCCTAAGGAGTTCATTTTTTAAGATAACTGGGCTCAAGGACTAAAGTGGCAGAGCTGGTGGTGGCCAAATGTGTCTGGTTTGATAATCCATGCTCTGTGACATCATCTGTATTTGTTCCTTGTCTGTGTATTCCTCATACTGCATCAAACAGGAAAAGCCCAAGAAGTCTGAACAAATTAGAAACTGAGAATAAAAATATTTAAAATGGGCACTGTGGCAGTTAATCTTCATAACAACATGACTGCTTTTAGAATCACCATGGAAACACAATTCCTGGCATATCTATGATCGTGGTTCCAGAAGGTTTAATGGAATAGGGGAGGTTCTACCCTGAGTGTGGGTGGCACCATTCCACTGGCTAGAGTCTCAGATGGAATAAAAAGTAAAAGTGAGCCAGGTAATGTCATGTACCTTTAAACCCAGAGCTGAGAGGTAGGAGCAGGGGAATTGCTGTGAGTTCAAGGTCAGTCAGGGCTATGTAGTGAAATTTTATGTCAAATAGTGGTGGGGGGGGCAGAAAAGAGTGGTGAATATCCAGGATCATCTCTCTCTGCTTCCTAGCTATGGACACAATGTGACCACGCACCTTCCCCACTATGGACATTATCTCGAACTATGAATCAAAATAAATGCTTCTTCCCTTATACTGTTTCTTGTCAGGTACATAGTCATAGCAACAAGGAAAGTAACTAAAACTAATACAGTGGCCATTTCCCTTAAAAGTACATCCCACATGCCTGAAGGGTTCCAAACTCCTGAGCAAGGGTTTTGCTGGTTCAGCTGAACAGACAGCAAGTGCGGGAATGAGAGTTCAAAGTATGCATGGTGTTTCCTGGAACATCTACTTTCATTAGCCAGCTTCTTTTAATTATTATTTTTTATCATTTTTATTTTATGTGTATGAGTGTACTGTTTGTACATGGGTTAAATGCACCCATGTCGTGCAAAGCCCGAGGAGGCATCAGATTCCCTGGCACTGGAGTTACAGATGGTTGTTAACTATCACGTAGGTACTGGGAATTGAACCCAAGTCCTCTGCAAGAGCAGTCAGTGCTCTTAACTGCTAAGCCATCTCTCTAGTCCCCTAGCCAGTTTCTTTAAAGAGTTTACTATTTGCCCCATCACTTCCAGGTATTCCTCTTCTACACATTTAACAAACTTTAGGGGTTTTCTGAAATTTCGCAAAAAATGAAGATGCTCCTGCCTTTTAAAACATTGCACAGAGCACTGTGGAAAGACTGGTTTAAAGAAGAGAGTAGTCCCTGTACTATTCAAACTGCTCCATGAGGATAAAGAGAAGGCTGGGTGTGGGGGTAACTTCTGATGGTGAGCAGTTTATAAACAACATTCCCTCAGTCCATACAGAGCACAACTCATGAGGAGGAAGAAACACAAGTCCACTCTGCTGTCACATTCTATGGCTATGAAAAGAGTGATGCTGTTCCGGCGCCCTCCTAGATACCAGAGTATTAGAACTAAGATGGACCTTGGTTTTACCAAGAGGAAGACATATGAGCCATAACCCTGTACAAATGTATCACTGTTCAAAAGAACTTGATAACTTCGTAAAAGAATGTCCGTGGTCATTTCATTCCTGAAAAAAAGAAATGCTTACACCATCACATTCCTTACCAAAAGTAACCTCTCCTTTGCCAGCTTTGTCAAACAGCTGAAAGGCCACCATAAACAAGGCATCCGGGGCACACAGGACAGATTCAAATGCTACAAATTCTTGGAAGGATATTAATCTGCAACATAAAACAAAGGCACAAAGTCAGTCACCTGTAGAAAACAAAACCGTATATAACCGTACATTAATGCCACAGCATCAAATGTCATTGACGAAAAGTAAAATCTAAAATTAAGGAAGGTTATCAGTGCTTAGCATTTCCTTGAAGGTACGAGGACTTGAAGAAAGGACTCTGAGACTCTTAAACAGGATGGAGCTTATAGTAAAGCACTAACCGCACTGTGATTTCAATGCACTACCTCATCCAGCATCCTTCATGTTTCAGACTCCCTCTGGCATGTTGTTGGGTTCTGTGATTAAAGCTTAGATACTTTAGAATAAGAAATGATGACATTGGACTGGAGAGATAGCTCAGTGGTTAAGAGTACTGGCTGCACTTGCAGAGGACCTGGGTTCAGTTCCCAGTATCCACATGGCAGCCAACAACCATCTATAACTCCAGTTTCAGGGGATCCAGCACACTCTAGGCACTGCACACATGTGGTGCACTTATATGCAAGCAAAACACTCAAATACATAAATTAAAAATTAAATGAATCAAAAGGGTTTAAAAAGAAATAATGGCATAAAAGAATGAGCAGCTGTTCGTCATTAATAATGCTATACACCATGTAAAATTAACTCATAAATACTCATTCATCACTGACATCTACTGACCACAAGTGAAAGAGGGATGCTACAAGGGAAATTATAGATAAATCAAATACAATATATGACCCAAGGGACTTTTGGGTCCAGTGAGGATAGCAATAGTCTGGGGATGGCATACAGGAAAGAGAGGCCCAAATATAAGATGAAAGTAGAGTTCTGACAGAAAGTTTATAAAGAGGGATATGGGGGCCGGAGAGATGGCTCAGCAGTTAAGAGCACTTGTTCCTCTTCCAGAGGACCGGACTTCAGTTCCCAGCACACATCAGATGGCTCACTCTGTCTGTAACTCCAGATCCAGGGATAATGTCCTCTTCTGGTCTCTACTTTCATATATGCATACACACAGAGTCATAGATACATACACACAAATAAAAAGAGATTAAAGGGAAAAAGAGATTTGTGACAGAAATGGAACCAGAACTGGTTCTTTTAAAAGAAAACAAGTTTCAGGTGTGCAAGAACATCTAGATGGGAAGAACAGGAGGCACAGACAAGAAAGCTAAGGTGGGTACAGGGAAACAGCAAGAACTTCTGTCAGAAGAATGCGGCACACAGAAGAGTGTGACAGATCAGAGCTGACCTTGAAGGCAAGAAAGGGACCAGAAAAAAGAGTCAATAAAGGTCACACTATGATAAAATCTATGCTTCAGGAAGCATGTGGGAAGCCAGGATAACACAACTTGCAAAGAGGAATGAGATCCATAAAAGATTTCCTCAGATTGTCCTTTACACTGAGTTATATTATAGAGATCCAACTATTTCAACAATACATTGAGAAAGTCCAAGTCTCCAGAGGATATAAAGAAAGAAAACAGGAATGTTTCAGTATGTTTCACAGGACACTTAATTCTTTCCAAACATCTTGCAGAGAGGACACATTTTTGTACAGTGCTACAAACTTAGCTGTTTGCCAGAATGTCACTGGACTACAATACTACTAAAAAGAAAGGGAAAAATGAATGGTATGTTGACACAGCATCTCCCTACCGTTCCCTTTCCAAAGCACATCATTCAAATGCATGCAACAGTCAGGACCAACAAATGATTCAAGAAAATACCTGGTGTCATATCCTCAACTTGACAATTTAAGGAAGAGGGAACCTCAACTAAAGAATTTCTTCCATCAGATTGGCCCATGATCACACCTGTGAGGCATTTTCTTAATTGCTGATTTACATAGGAAGGCCTAGCCCACTATGGGCAGTGCCATTCCTGGGCTAAGTAGAAGGAAGCTGGGCAAGTCAGAGGCAGCAAGCCAGTAAGCAGCATTCCTCCATGGTCTCTGCTTTAGTTCTTGCCTCCAGGTTCCTGCCTCTAGTTCCTGCCTTGGCTTCCCTTATGATGGACTATAAACTGTAAACCAAATAAAATAAACCCTTTCCTCCCCATGCTGCTTTTGGTCAGTGCTTAATTACAAGAGTAGAAAACCAAACCAGAATACTTGCCCAGAGCATTTCATCCTCTACTCCAGTTTTCACCAAGAATCTTTTTAAAAGAAATATTTTATTATTTTTATTTTATGTGAATGAGTATATTGCCTGTATGTAAGCATATCTATGTCATGCAGTTTCCACAGAGGTCAGAAGAGGGCATCAGATCCCTGTACCTGGAGTTGCAGGTGGATGTTAGCTGTCATGTGGGTACTGGGAACTGAACCTGGGTCATCTGTGAGAGCAGCCAATGGTCTTAACTGCTGAGTCATCTCTCCAGCCACACACTGAGACTCTTGTACAGGACAGACCAGGGGAATGGGATAAGAAGGGAAACAGCTAAGACTCAAATATTAGTGACTGAATTCAGGAGATACTCATGAACATGTATACTTATCAGCATCCCCTGGAATGTAGTTTCATGTGAAAAGTAAAATAGAGCACAAGTGGTTCAAAGGGAGGGGGTGGATGGCTCAGCGGTTAAGAGTACCAACTGCTCTTACAGAGGACTTGGGTTCCATTCCAAGCATATACACAGTAGCTAACGATAGTCCAAAACTCCAATTCCAGGGAATCCAATGCCCTCCTCTGGCCCTCTGAGGGCATCTCATGGCATGGATGCACTTACATACATATAGGAAAACATACAAAAAATAAAAATAAAAATTTTTTAAAAAAAAGTACAGGGGCAGGGAGCATGCATACGTACCTTTAATCTCAGTATTTATGAGGCAGAAGTAGGTAGATCTCTGTGAGTTCAAGGCCAGCCTGGTCTACATAGTGAGTTCCAGGTCAGTCAGGGCCACATAGTAAGACCCTATCTCAAAAAAAAAGGGGGGGGGGCAGGCTGGAGAGATAGGTCAGCAGTTAAGAGCACTGGCTGTTCTTACAGAGGTTCCATTCCCAGCACCCACATGGTGGCTAACAACCATCCATAGCTCCAGTTCCAGGGAATGTGATGCCATCTTCTGACCTCCACAGACATTATACAACTCACTCATACACATAAAATAAAAATAATAATTAAAAGCCCAGCGTGGTGGCATACATCTTTAATCCTAGCACTCGGGAGAGAGAGGCAGGCAGATCTTTGTGAGTTCGAGGCCAGCCTGGTTACATAGTGAGTTCCAGGACAGCTGGGGCTACAGGGAGACCCTGTCTCAAAAAGACAATAAATATAAATAAATAAATATAAAAATTAAAAAATACACTGTTCCTTAAAAAGAAATATAAAGGAAGGATGGTTTGTTTTCCCTGGAAGAACTGGCGAGTGCTTCATGGAGACATGACATTTAAGGGATAAGTTTTAAAAGTGAACAGATCTTAGAGATCATTTACCTCAAACTCACTATGCCTTAAGGGCCCTAAAGCTGACCATGACTTGAAGAGGGCAAAATACCTGGCTCCTGGCATTCTGACATACCTGGGCAGACTTCAGCTGGAGTGAGGAGATCTAGAGAACAGAGCAGAGAGGACGCTGCACACAAGCCCAGCAGCAGGTGAGAGCAGAAGGGTGTGTTGTATGAAGAGGGTCTCACAAGGAGCAAGAGACTGTATGAGCGCCCCCCCCAAGTCTACCAACAGGCCTCCTTTCATCAGCAGGGAGAAGTCAGTCACTCCACATTTCAGACCAAAGCCAAATCTTTATGAAGAACTGGCAAGGAAGATGAGCTTAAAGGAGAAAAAATAAGGGGCAAACTAATAATTAGGATAGCAGGTCTGAACCAGAAAGGAACTCATGGGAACCAAAACAGAGGAGAAGAAATGACTAAGGTCATCCAGGTTGAGTCCACAGTGACCACCGTGCTCAGGAGTGGATGTCAGAGAATGAGGACAACGGTGGAGAATGGGATGTTCCTAGGTCTCCTAACCTGGATAGCTAAGTGAGGTGATAGAATCACTACCAAAGGAAATAAAATGAATGTGAAAACTGGAAAAAAAAGGTGCTCTGAGAAGTTGTGACCAATCCTGAGGTACCAGTGGGACAGTGAATCATGTTGCCCACATCATGAGGACAGATGCTGGTATGGAATGGACCGTGTGCTCCAAAATCCCAATCCTCAGCACCACACATGTAATTGAATTTGGAAACAGTTGTCGCCATTATGAATACTTAAGATAGGGAGCCACTGCTTCTGACTGTCTGCTTCCTCCTCGCCATTACCCTCAGTCCCTCCCTCATACTGGGCAGGTACCAACAGTCCTGAGGCCACTCTGTACTGCTTGCTCACCAGGAGGAGACTGGCGGGCAGTGTGCTGAGGCAACAAGCACAGTGCTAAATCACCCCTGTAGCGATATCATGCTAGTTAAAAGAGAACCACACCACATGGAACCTAGAAAAAAGATTTTTTGTTTTGTGCACTGAATAAGGCTTAAAGTACAATAAAAAGAGCATCGTGCCTGTCTCAAAATGGTATGAAAAGTCTGAAGACTCAGTATGTGTGTAACCGATTCTCTTCTGGCAAGCTTAGTGTCATTTCAAAATCATAACTAGCCAGTAGAGACTGGTATTTTAGGCACATTGCTGATACTAAGAAGGTATGTAATTTGGTAATCCTATTAGATACAAGCATTATACTTCTATGTAGGAGGTATACAGAGGAACCATGAAATCATAATGTATTATTGTTCATCAAGATCATTTTGGATTTTCAAGGTAATCTGACTAGAAGGCCGTGAGAATAATTATATAGTACTATATTCACTTACAGCATGGTATCTAAAAACATCTATATTTTCATATAAACACTACTTCAATCTTACTTTGCAGATTTAATGGGTATTAGAATAAGTTACAAGGAAGAATACAAGCCTAATCAAGGTCAGACCTGGCTGGTGAGCTTTTCTTGCTTCTTTTTCCACCACCCTCAACTGCCAAAACGTCTTCCACAATGCTAGATGCCCTTCCAATATAAT